CAATTGATGCAACTTGTGTCGATCGCAGACGCGCCAATTCAGGTCGCTCGCTCGCCATGGTGTCCCAGGAGCATTTTGCATGCTTGGAGCAATATCTTTCCAGCAACTCAGATCTGCTTCGGGCAGAAGGCGGATCTAGCTTGCTTGCAATTTTATCGCGTGGCCAGCGGCAGAAAGATGCTGAGAGGGCGAAGAATTTCAAGTTTTTGAGAACGCAGCAGTACTTGTTTGATGCAGAGCAGCAATCTCGTTTCCAAGCATTGGAGGCGCAGATTTGCAACGCTGAGCATCAAAAGCAGAAATCCGTTGATGCCTTTTGCGAGCGGCTCATCGAGCATGCAGCTGAGCTGCGTGATTTTGCACAGCCTTCACTTGAGGCGCTTGGCAACTTGCACGCAGCTAAGGCAAACCCGAATATTCAAAAAAATAATCAAGCGAGTGTGGCCAGATAGGTCGGCGGATCAGCAGCAGCAAGTTGCTTTCTTGGAGGCCATAATTTGCGCTGAGAGGCCGGCAGTTCAGCCGCGTCTCCAGCCTGAAGTTGATGCATTTTGTGAGTGGCTTGCTAGCCACGCCGAAAAAGCTGCGTGCCTATGCCCAGCCGTCACTTCAGGCTCTAAGCAACTTGCATGCGAGGAAGACAAGTCCCATATTGAGCAAAATTTACAATTTTCGCTGCGCATGGCAGCACCTGTCTCGCAGCAGCAGGTTCAAGCCCTAGAGCGTACAATCTGCGCACACGGGACAGCGGCGATGCCCCGTCGCGAGTGCGTGACTGCATCAAAGCTGTGCATTGCAGAGACCGAGCTGGGAAATAAGTTGTCCAGGCCGAGAAGGCCAAAGAGCCTGCGCCAGCTCTACGGCAATAGCGCCGACGCAGAGTGTCGCGTGATGTCGATTTTTCATAGGGCGCGTGACGCGTGCGGTAGACACATTTCTGCAGTCGCTCGAATTTATGCGCCTAATGCAAAGAAGGGTGGTTTGGCACCCATGTCTCAGTGAACGACATGCCTGGGAAGTTTGAGTCGCACTGCTTCAAAAAGACGAACTTTGCGTTGGCGCCTCGTCGGTCTTGGCTGGCGTGGCGAGACTCTGCCAGAGACGGACGCCTTGACTTTCTTCGAAGTTGTCGCCCATACAGCACATGGTGCGTATCTTCGCGTTGCATGGGACTGGGCAGACGGAGCTCCGCGGGCATGTTGGCAACTTGTTTCAGAATGGGCCTCAGTTTGTGAGACAGATTCCTGTGATAGTGGGGCGACATGAACATGCTGCTCATTCGCAGGTGTTTGAAAGACCTCAATTGCAAGCAGAGGGTTCCTTTCCTTGCTTTGCGAAAACGTCTAGAAAGGGCGTTAGATAGGATTGCTCGTCCTCTGGCGGAAGGTGGCTCTTTGGTTTGGCAGCCAGGCAGCCTAACGCCGCAGGGCTATTTGGAGCTAGTCAACCGCGATAACCTAGGGCAGTTTGCCGGCACCGAGGAGGGGGAAGAGCCGCGCGGTTTGCAAGCGGTGGTTGTAGAGCAGGGCCGTTTAGAAGACATGGAATTCAAAATGTTCCAAATTTGGATGGCCACGACTTTGTCTTTGCAGCTCAGCGCAGTGGTAGAGTTGCTGCACGAGCCGCCAGATGCTGCGGATCCAGTGGCCAGTGTTCGTGCTTGCTGGTGCTCCACTTGCAAACCGCACGGCTCTTCCCCCTCCTCGGTGCCGGCAAACTGCCCTAGGTTATTGCGGTTGACTGTAGGTTCTGTGGAAAATAGCCTGCCACGTCCTAGTCGCTGTGCTGATTCTCTCTGTGCGGACTTCGCGTCTCCACTAGTCCTGATTACACACAGGTTTCCCGGATTATGTCACAAGTTGGCTTATGTTACTGCAAGTTGGCTTTGGCACGCCGACGCGAAAGCCACACGGCGATCGCAGTGGCTGCACTTCTGTACAGTAAGATGCTGCATCGCTTGCGAGGTAGGGCAGTAAGAGGTAGATGAGTAGTGCGAGGGTACTAATAGTAGCCAGAGCATGCAGAGCATCCTGTGCCAGGACCGGCAATCGCTGTCGCTGCGTGGGCTTCATGTCATGACTAGTGATAATACGAGCACAAAAGACAACTACGTTGCAAATTGCTTTGGCATACGAGCGTGCGTGAAATCCACACAGCGAGCGCGGTGACTGCGCCTTGTACAGCTCTGCGCAGCATCGCGTGCAAAGAGACTGAGTCCAAGCATGGCCTTGGGCATGTCAGTTCAGACTGCCCCGCAGTGACT